GGGTGGGGGTAGGGGTGGGGGCGGCTTCTGCCCTGGCTGCCCTGAGGCACAGTGTCCTGGAACCCAGGCCTGCCCACTCTGCCTCTGGGGGAGGGACGTGGGCATAAGGTCCCCTCAGACGAAGCAGGACGAGCTGCAGGGTCCATGTGCCTGCCTCCCACCCCCAGTGGATCATGGACGTGCTGGTCTGCAACGGGCTGGGCATCTACTGCGGCATGAAGACCCTTGAGTGGCTGTCTCTGAAGACGTATAAGTGGCAGGGCCTCTGGAACATTCCAACCTACAAGTATGTCTCCTGAGTGTCCTCCTGCAGGAGCCTGGGCATCAGTGTGGGGCCTTGAGGTGGCCCCTGGGGTCTAGGCCCAGCTCCATCTGACGTGTCTTTTGGGAGGGGTGATGGATGAGGGTTTTGCCTCCTATAATCACCTGGGATTTGACCCTGGGCTGCCCTCAAAGGCCCTCACAGTGGCCGGGACGTCAGCCCGCCCTTGTCTGACAGCAGCCTCATCCCTGACAGCCCTTCTCGGAAGGCCGCCCTCCTGAAGTGGTTGCAGGTGCTGTCATTTTTATTTTTAATTTAAAAGAAACAGTCCAGGAAAAGACCTGGGGGGGCAGGGCTGGGGAGTAGGGTCTCCTCACCCATCCATCATGGGTGCCTGGGGGTGGGGAGCATGAGAGCAGGAACCTGATGCCCCCCAACCCCCCACCCGGCTCCAGGGGCAAGATGAAGCGGATCGCCTTCCAGTTCACGCCCTACAGCTGGGTCCGCTTCGAGTGGAAGCCCGCCTCCAGCCTGCGCCGCTGGCTGGCCGTGTGCGGCATTATCCTGGTGGTAAGGCCGGCTACCTCCTGCACTTGCGGGGCCCACCTGCTAGCACGTGGCTCACCACCCACCCTCTTCTGTCTCCCAGTTTTTGTTGGCAGAACTGAACACATTCTACCTGAAGTTCGTGCTGTGGCTGCCCCCGGAGCACTACCTGGTCCTGCTGCGGCTGGTGTTCTTTGTGAACGTGGGCGGTGTAGCCATGCGTGAGATCTACGACTTCATGGACGACCCGTGAGCCGCGGGGCCGGTGACAGAGCCTGTGCCCAGCGCAGGCGGTAGGGTGCCCTCAACTGATGCCTCCCCCCACAGGAAGCCTCACAAGAAGCTGGGCCAGCAGGCCTGGCTGGTGGCCGCTATCACTGCCACGGAGTTGCTCATCGTGGTCAAGTACGACCCGCACACGCTCACGCTATCCCTGCCCTTCTACATCGCCCAGTGCTGGACGCTCGGCTCCGTGCTTGTGCTCACCTGGACTGTCTGGCGTTTCTTCCTGCGGTGAGGCCCATCTCTGGGGTGGGGGTAACGTGTCTGGGTCCTGTGTGCTTCTGTCTTCCTGCTCGGACTCTGCAGGCTGGTGACCCAGCCCCTTCTGTCCCCAGGGACATCACCCTGCGGTACAAGGAGACCCGGCGGCAGAAGCAGCAGAGCAACAGTGACCAGGGAGACACTGCCGACAATATGGACAGGCACCCACCTGGGCCGGACACCCCCTCGGGGCCTGTGGAGGCCGAGAGGGAGAGGGCACCGGCTCTGAACTGACCTGTCCCTCACGACTGCCCAGGACACAGGCCTCGTCCCTTCCTCCTCTGATTCCTGCCAGGAACCTCTGACAGGCCTCTCTTTCCTCCAACACTCAGCGACGCTCTAGAGGGGGCGTGGAGGAGGCGCCCTCCAGCAGGGCTGTGTGTGTGCGTGGGGGGGGATGCATGTGGCGTGTGTGTGTCGTGTGTGTGGCATGTGTGCGTGTACACTTCTGTGCTCTGTGTTCCTGGCTCTGGAGGGTTCTCAGGCTGGCAGATGTGGCTGGGGGTCACCCTGGGGCAGTGGTCCCCGTTCTGTTGGTCAGTCCACAGGCCTCTAGGCCACACGGAGCCCTAGTGCCCAGACGGCCTGGCCCTTATCTCCTCTGGCCCCCAGTCCAACCCTGGCCCAACATGTTACTGACAAGGGTCCACCAACTCCCGAGATGGCCAAGACGGGTGTATCCGAATTGCAGCCCTGAGCCGTTTCCTCGGGAACCTTCCTCCAACCCAGCTAACCCAGAGGGCATGAGGGGGGCGCGGGCAGGTCTTCAGGGAGGCATTGGGTGAGACACTCCAAGGCCCTGTGCCCATGGTTGGAAGGAGGGGTCCTGGGGTCTCTGGCCCCAAGTTGATGGTCATCTCCGTGAGCAAACAGAACAAATAAATCGGCAATGGTCTGAAGTTTGTGTCCTCACTGACCTCACACCTACCTCCCTGGAGGATGGCGCCCAGAGGGGTAGGAGTCCAGTGGGCAGGGCTGCTTGGCCGTGGCACAGGGGCCGCCTGGTCTGCTGCGTTTGTGCACCTGGCGGGGCCTGCGTGGGAGAGCAGCCCGAGTGCTGGTTCTGGTTGGAATGGGTGGTGGTGGACCCTGGCTGTGGGAGGCATGTGTGGCCACCCTGGAAATTCAAACGAGAAAGGTGCCCTCCCTGGCTGTGAGAACCTGACCTCCAAGGGCTTTTGTTTCCTTAGTTGTGGAGTTTTTAAAATATTTTTATTGATTTCAGAGAAAGGAAGGGGGGGGGGGGGGAAACCAAT